AATGGAGTGTTAGATTGACGGAATTATTGACTGATAGGCAGAATGATTATATGATGATTGAATAATGGATAGATTATACTGATTTATTAACAGAATAACATATTTATTCATTCACTGGCGGATTGATTGATTAATTTAATTGACAGGATGATTGATTTATTGACGGAATGATTGATCGAATGCTTGATAGATAGATAGATTGATTGATTGATTAATTGATTGATTGCTTGATTGATTGATTGACGGACTTATTGATTGATTGATTATTTGAATTATTATTTAAATGATAGATTGAAGGATTCACGGATTGACAGATTGATTGATTAATTGACAGATCGGTTGGTTGATTGATCGATTAATTGATCGATTTATTAATTGATTGCTTTAATAATTGATCGATCAATCGATCGATTGATCGACTGACCGACTGACTGACCGACCGACCAACCAATTGATTGATTATTTGATCGATCGATTGATTGATTGATTGATTGATTGATTGATTGATTGATTGATTGATTGATTGAGAGAATGGTTAATTTTTTTTTATGGAATTCAAATGCAGTAATGCATCTAATAAAGTATAAGAAACTTATGAACGACATGTTTTGACGTGTCCCACGTCATATTCAGGTAATAACGCTTAATGCTACTAACGGTTTAAACTGTTAGTAGCATAAGCGTTATTACCTGATGATGACGCGGAACACGTTGAAACTTGTCGTTCATAAGTTTCATATAATTGGAATTATATGGAATTATTTTCCTTTGTTTCTGTGAAAATGTTAATTGTTGCATGTATAGCACTTTCATCATAGTTACGAATATACTTTTATATGGAATTTCCATGCAAAACCTGCACCCTGATTTCTAAGTCAATTCTATTATTATTATTATTATTATTATTATTATTATTATTATTATTATTATTATTATTATTATTATTATTATTACATTATTAAGAAGACACAACAATAATTGTTACTATTATTATCATCATCATCATCATTATTAGTATTATTATTATTATTATTATTATTAATAATAATAATAATAATAATAATAATAATAATAATATTATAATATTATTATTGTTGTCGGCCATCATTGGAACAGCTCATATATTGAGAAAAGTGCTGTGTCTCTAAGCTGCGGGAATTAGCTGAGACAGAGCTCAAAAGACCCAGTAGAATATCATGATCTCGAGGTAATCGCATAATAATAATAATAATAATAATAATAACAATAATAATAATAATAATAATAATAATAATAACAATAATAATAATAACAATAATAATAATAACAATAATAATAATAATAATCAAAAAAATATAATGCGCCTATTTCAAAAATGATCAAAGGCGCAGTCTGTTATATAAATATGTTTTTAAATTAACTTTAAATTAATTTAAAGTATTCGAATCTTTAATAAAGGGATTGAGTAAATATATATATATAGCAAGAGGCAGGGAAAGAAACATGCCTTGCCCATATATGATTTTTGCGCTATCTTTTCCATAGTATATCAATTTAACCTAGACAATATATTAGCATACAAATTTATAAAATGAAATGAAATGAATTATAATAATATATATTTTTGTATATATAATGTATTGTAATTATATATTAAAATAAAGAATGGGTCTATTTATTAACAGTTTGCAAATTGCATGACGTAAATGGTGATTTAAAGTTACATCGTACGATACGACTATGATATTGTAAGTTTTAACTAGAAGCTTTTGTAAAAGTCCAAATATGGATAAAGAGAGTTAGCATTCCAAAGACCTTAACAATTCAATTTAAAAGGTACAATAAAGTATTGTATGTATTGTGTTTTCTCAGAAAAATAGATTATTAAGGCTTATATTATTTTGATATAGTTTACAACGAACCCAAAAATAAATGAAGATTTAATCATGTAGAATCAATATTTAATTTAAACTTCACTGATAACCCATAAATTATTTTGGATTTCACAATTATTTTCCAAGAAAAAACAATAACTATTGAAAAAGAAATGTTAATTAAGATAAGTAAAACTACTGTTAAAAAAAAGGCTCCTTTTACGCTGCGCAGTAAAAGTAAGTCCCCCCACGGTGTGATTTTTATTTGACTTAACGAACTTTAGTTATAGTGGTAACAAATAAATTACTACAACAGTGATACCGACAACAACACGAAAAAATATTAAAATTTTACCTCAATTTGAAATTTTAACATAACTTTTAGTTATTGTGGTAACTACTCTAAATCACTTGATTAGTGAAATATTAATTAAGGAAATGAACAATTAGCATATTCACACATGCACCAAAACAATAGGCTCTGTCTTCTTATTACCATCTTGCATTCTGTCAAGTTTGAAACCAATCAGACATTCCAAACTTTAGTTATCGAGATATCTAGTCTAAATTACCTAATTAGTGAAATATCAATTATGCAAGTAAGCAATTAGTATTTACACACATCTAATAAAAACAATCGGCTCTGTCTTCTTATTACCATCTTGCATTCTGTCAAGTTTGAAACCAATCAGACTTAACAACATTTAGTTTAACATGGTAACTAGCCTAAATTACCGTCTTCTTCTTACCATTTTGCATTCTGTCAAGTTTGAAAACAATCGGACTTGCCAAACTTTAGTTATCGTGGTAACAATCAAATGACCAACAACGACAACATGAAGAAAAACAGGCAAAAAAAAAACACCAAAAAACAATAGCCTCCCTGGAGCTCCGCTCCATTGGGCAGGCTAATTATTAGT